CTCCTGATTTCTCCATACGAAGTCACCGATGCCTCCGTGTTTGTGCGTATCGAACCGCGTTTGCCATTGCCGCCTTCAGCTGACCATGGATTGCACTCTCGTAATTGGCAAATGACCTACGCCCTCGCGGCGGCAGAACCCCTGGCTGAAGACTCGCTGACGAACTTCTGGGAAGCGTGCGACCTCACTAGCGGTCGCCTCTTGCCTCTGGTCGACGGACAGCGCAGTGTGGCCGAGTTGTCGCGACTGGCGCTAGTTGATGTGAACATTGCTCGTCTCTGTCTTACCCAACTGGCTAATGTGGGCGCAGTTCATGCAGTCTCTGTTCCTGTTTTTATGCACCACGTTTCAGAAGTCCAACTGGAACAGGGTTCCGAGGCTCAGGAAGCAGCACCGGAGCTTATCTTTTCGGTGCCTGGTTATGTTGGCATGCCGAGGCTGATGGAGCTCACCCGAAACGAGACGCTCAAGATGGCCTGTCTGGAATCGGTGGTAAGTCTTTGCTCGAAGTTGAGGCTAGGGAGGTAGTTTCTTCCAGGCCGTATTCAGCGTTTGGCTTGTTTCGCTGTAAATAATCAAACCTTTTCTTAAACTACGGCGACGTTCTAACGGTCGTCGTTGGGAAGATTGTTAAATAACAGGATGCCTTGGGACTTGGGGGGGGGGAGCATCAAGCTGTAATGGCTCCTTATTATTAGGGTCTTCATGGCATTCTCACAAATTCGTTCCTTTTAAGGCTGCGATCATGACTGACCTAACCAGCCTCGTCAATGTTCCGGACGGTACTTCTCCACGCGTGACTATCCTTGGCAGCACATCTAGACAGTTTAACCATTCTATTCGCCAACAACGGAAGCCGGATACCCAGGGGCCCAAGAGCCACTTCAATGCCTCGACTAACTGAGTCGGATCAGGTTATGGGCTGACCCCCCTGCTTCGACGTTTCCAACTAGGTAACGGTGTCGAATCGAGGGCAGTAACACTGAGCTCGTGAGCGTGACGACGAAGAACGTGTCCAACGCACATCAGTCGTCTTTCTTGGATAGTCTGGAATATCCTTGCGATGTTGTCGCAGCGAGTGCGCACTGTTTCATTTGAGATGAAATCAGCATACGTCACTCGACAGATGGTCGTCAACCAGTATTCGTCGAATACCTCCAGTTTTTTGTTCACCTTCCACGTGCATAGTCCAGCATTCACGGCCGTAGAGCAGGACAGATCGAACGATACACGCAAACCTTCGTGGCAATCGGAATATTGCGTCGGACCAATAAGCATTTTCTAAGGCTTGGGAAAATTCGACGAACTGCATCGATTCAAGAGACAATGTCGTCCATTCGCGAGCAACCTCGCTCCCAGTTATTTGAAACTGCGTACTTTTTCAATTTGGGGAAGATAAAGGAAGAGAGTAAATTTGAGTTTGCACAAGTAAGAATTCCGAGCTTAGAATCATAGATCATTTTTGCTCCCCAGGATGTTTTTCTTTTTCCGCTGACACTTCGGACAGCTGGGCCGGCTGTCCTTTGTCAAAGGGTCTCCACGTCACTTCAGCGCATTTCTGCTCTACAAACGATCTGACGCGCTGCATTCTATCACCACGCGCTAAACATCTCCGGTGTTTTTGACTCTCTCCTGACATCGGGCACGGGTGGGGAGTGAAACAGAGGGTGAGTTAGATGCGGCGTATGTCTTCTCACTACAGTTCAGCACAAGTCACCGTCCCGCACATACTGGACATCGTCGCAACTGACGGTCGAAGTGTCTTGTGTGGCAGGCCTGAGTGACTGTCTAGCGCTGTCAGCTGCTGCGTTCGCTTCCACCTCCGGTCTTCTTGATTTGGTAATGGCAGCTAGCCCTGCTGAGAGAGGGCGGTGGATGTTTTGCAGGTCTACATCTGTTTGCGCGCAAGTTACCGTCCTTGCGTTCACCGTGTGCTCAACAGCACACGGTGAACA